CCTTCCTTCCTTCCTTTCTTTCTTTCTTTCTTTCTTTTTCTTTCTTTCTTATCTTTCTTTCTTTCCTTCCTTCCTTCCTTCCTTCTCTCTCTCTCTCTTTCTTTCTTTCTTTCTTTCTTTCTCTCTCTCTCTCTCTCTTTCTTTCTTTCTTTCTTTCTTTCTCTCTCTCTCTCTCTCTCTTTCTCTCTTTCTCTCTTTCTTTCCTCTCTTTCTCTCTTTCTTTCTTTCTTTTTTCTGAGATAGAGTCTCGCTCTGTCACCCAGGCTGGAGTGCAGTGGCATGATCTCACCTAACTTCAGCCTCTGCCTCCCTGGTTCAAGTGAATCTCTTGCCTCAGCTTTCTGAGTAGCTAGGACTACAGGCACACACCACCATGCCCGGCTAATTTTTGTACTTTTTAGCAGAGACGAGGTTTCACCATGTTGGCCAGCTGGTCTCAAACTCCTGAACTCAAGTGATCCGCCTGCCTCGTCCTCCCAAAGTGCTGGAATTACCGGCATGAGCCATCACACCCGGCCATAATTTTTCTTTACAATATTGTGTGTGTGTTTGTGTGTATACACTCATTTTCTAAGTGTGTTTTTGTCCAGGCATTGGGAAGGAGGGAGTTCAGTCACACTGTAATAAAATGAATGGAGACCGCTAAATGAGAAGTTTTGGGGACACTGGGAAAACATCTCAATGGTCAGGCTGATTTCTCCAAAATACGTTTGCTGGTCTTACCAGCTAGGTGCAAAGAGGTCCCTTTGGAAAACTGCATGAAGGAGCTGTCAGGGTAACTGGGTCATGGGGAGGAACAGATCCCTCACATTCTGCTCCTTATATTGGAAAAAACCTCCCTAAGGCACTGCAGGAGGCAGGGTTCACCTGGGGGAGCAGAAATGCTGAGCTAGGCAATTAGAGAGGACGGTGGCTTCTGTCTAAGCAGATGCCTGGGTTTGGCTTCCTGGCTGAGCTTCTCAAGGTGGTTTTGGTTTTCCTGGTTGTTCCTGCTCGTCCTCCTAGCCTTTGCTGTGTCCTTTGACAGTATGAGGACTGTTCACATTTGAAGCACCTTATAGTGTACCAAGTGCTTCCCTTACCTCACTGAATTTTTGTACGAATCCTATGAGACAGATATTGTCATCCCATAGAGGCTAGTTGAGTTGCCCAAGGTCATGAAGTAGTTAGTAGAAGAACATTCAAAATTCAAGCACAAACCTTCCAACTCTAAAATTCCATGTTCTTTCAATGTATATCGGTCAGCCTTTTCTAACATTTCTGTACTTCCTCCTAGAGCATTTTATGGTTGGATCCCAAGACATATGCATTGAGAAGCTTGAGAAGATTTCACATTTGCTTTTCTTTTGCCAGCCAGTGGGAGACTGCCACTGAAGTCACCCTGCCCTCCACGGCCCCACTGTATTTAGGCTGTGTGTTAATGTCAGTACATCTGGGCCTTGGATCCCCTGTGTAGTGGCTGTGAATATCACTAGAATGACTGAAGAGGGAATACATTGCCATTTTTCTGGGCTTCAGAGATATTTTCATTTGCACAATGTAGGTATCAAACCAGTTGTTAATTAAAGCCTTTCCATCAGTTACCATCTGAGACTTGGGTCCATGGCTGAGCCTTGCCCTATCACTTGTTACCACTGTGGCCTCATCAGTTGAGAGCGGTGATGAGTTTCTCCTGATTTTCTTCCTCCTCCTTCTTCCTTACCAATAACCTGTATTTGGTAGATGTCTGTGGTATGGTTAGGGTGTGTTTGTGTGCACCTGAGAGCTGTAAACCTGGACATTGGGAAAGTTGGGAAGGATGGGGCAGGTAAGTACCTTCACTGAGCCAAATCTGGTGCTAATGCCTTTGTCTGTCTGTTGCAGGGCCCAACATCTGTACCACACGAGGTGTGAGCTCCTGCCAGCAGTGCCTGGCTGTGAGCCCCATGTGTGCCTGGTGCTCTGATGAGGTAAGGAGCAGATACCAGACCTTGTTTCTTCTCCAGACTAAGCTGCTTTTGTGCACAAACAGACCCATGAAGTTATCACCTTCCTCCTGAATACATGTACCCCTTGTCCCTTCTAAGCAAAACTTTGATGAATTTTTCCCATTGATGGATGGTGAGGAGCTGTCATGGGGATGTTGCTAGGAATACTATCCCGAGTCTACCACATAGCCCCTTGCCCCTGCCAGTTTGGCTGGACCTCCTGTCCTCTCTGTAACCATTGCTGCCCTTTCTCACACTTTGCTTGCTTTTTTTCCTAAGAAAAATAGTTTATTTTTAATTTTTTGGTAGAGACAGGGCCTCACTATGTTGCCCAGGCTGGTCTCGAACTCCTAGACTCAAGAGATCCTCCCACCTTGGCCTCCCAGTGTGCTGGGATTTCATGTGTGAGCCACCATGCCCAGCCCATTGCTTGCATTTCTTGGGGGTGGAATATCCCAGGGAAGCAGGTGTCAGGTCTCAAAAGGAGAGGCAGCAAGGGGTATAGGTACAGATGGGGTTGGGAGGGGTGCTGGCTTACTTCTTTTTCCTAGAGGTTAAAAAAGGCAAATAGAAGAGGAATCTTGTGCTTGTGTGTGTGGATATTTAGTCAGAAGATCTTTTCTCTTCCCTTTTTGACGATTGGGCCTCATGGCTTTACATTTTTCTTTCTCTTCTTCTTTCCTTCCTCCCTTCTCACAGGTGTTGAGGAAAGGAGCCGGGCCCACTTGGTGAGGACGGAAGGGGGACAGGAAAGGGTTAGTTGTGTCTAGGCAGAGGGTTTGTTGTGTCTGGGGCCCTAGGGAATGAGTGTGTCTGAGGGAATGGCTGTGTTTGTGGCTGGGATGGAAATTTGGAGCTGGCAAGAGCTGATGGGGTGGGGGTGGGAGATGAATGTGGTTGGAGAGATTCGGTGATTATAGAGTCTGAGACTGAGTCACTGGCCCGGCCAGCAGGTGGTTACCTGAGTTCCTGGCCTGGCTGCGGCTCAGCTACCTGAGGCGTCCTCTCTGTCCCACAGCAAGTTCCAGCCCTGTTCAGTTTTATGACCACTCCAATCCAGCCCCTCAGTCTCTCTGCTTCTTTTCCAGATCCACTGAGTTTCCTAAAAAGGCAACCTCCCTGGCCGGCTGGGGGGAGGGGCGGGAGCTGGGAGGCTGTGTTTATCACCGGCCAGGAGGGCTGCCAGAGCAGCAGAGGCCAGCTCCGCACGTTGCTTTGGCCTCTTTGCCGTTCAGCACGGGAACTGCTTCCAGAGGCAGCTGCCCAACATCTGGGCCACACTGACTTCATTTAGCAAATGAAACCTTCCCTGGGGCTAGGATGAGTCCTTCTCCTCCACCCCCGCAGGTTCTCCTCCCCTCTGGGCTGAGCTGGCTGCTCAGTGTGATGTAGCCTGCTCCCTCCTCATTTGCTATGTCCTCCTTCTTCCCATCGTGATATTACTAAAGCTTCTTTTACCAGGAAGTTGCAATTCTGCAACTGAATGCTGGAAGAAGGGAGAGTTGAATGGGGAGGGGGCCTTGGGTAGCCCAAAGCCTTCAGGAACAGAGGAACGTCAGGACAGAAGCCCTAGTGTCACTCAAAGGGTGCTTCCACCTTTTCCTCCTTCCCTCCTTTCCAGCCCAAAGCAAGAGAAAATGCAGGCATCTCTGGCTCAGAGAAGCTGGGGAAAAAGAAAACTTACTTGGAGGGTCTGTCCTGCTCCCTATCCCCCGTTTTTCATCCCTCTTGATCTGCATAGGGACTAGCCATGCAGCTGAGGTGGGCTGAGGCCTGAACAGACAAAGCCCTTAGGTCACGTAACCAGATTTCAAAGATGCAAATGTAGAATATTTATGGGTGACTGTTGTGCTCCTTGTCCCCTGGCAGGCCTGGGGAGGGCAGAGGGAAAGGTGCAGGGTAGATCAGAGCATGATGTAGGACCAGCCTAGGAATGAGGGGTGCAGTCAGCCAGGAAATGGGCACAGCTAGGACCAAAGAAAACAAATGGAGGGAGGTAGAAAGTCCAGTAAGATATTCCCTGGGAGAATGGCATATAAACATGAAAGGAGGCGGGGCCGAGGTTAGTGAAGGACTACAACTATCCCTGAGCAAGAGGGAGGAGGGAGAGAAGGAAGGGTGGGACAGAATGTGGCGACCAGGGAGGGATGGGAGGTGGGAATCCTGGACTGTAACCTGAACATAAAAGCTATTTTGTTCCTGAGAGGAGCAGGGCTTCCCCTGGATAGGCTAAGTTTAACTGCTGAAAATTCTTTGGACATTGATTTCAAAAAACCAAAAGTGAACTGTCTGGTTCATTTTGTAGGTAATTTGTCAAATAATCAAACCCTGGAGAGCCCTCTGTTCTTCTTCCTCCCCTGAGTTGGCTGTTCCAGGCAAGCTGGCAGTGCCTGGAAAAACAACTGGTTGGGCTCGGCTTTCCCCTTGGTCCTAGAGGACTGGAGCTCTTGGGTGTGTATAGTGAGAGCTTGGCTGGGTAAGAGGAAAACATAGCCAACATGGATGAGCATGGAGTTTTGGGCCCATGTGCATAGGGTGTGTTCTTGGAGGGTTGGATACTGACACGAGTTGGGGTGGTGTGCTCTCTCTGGAGCCGGCTTCAACTCGTGGTCTTAGTCTCAGCAGTGCCATGCTGGAGTCTAGAACCTCCCAAACTCATTTGGTATTGAGAATTGCCTGGGGTGCTTGTTAAAAATAAAGGTTCCCAGGATGGACCCTGGGTTTATTACATCAGAATGGGTTGTTATGATAGCAAGTTTGACAAACATTGCTAATTGAAGGGCCACCGGGGTTGGGGTCAAGGTGGATGGAGGTGGAGTTAAGGTTGCCAGATAAATACAGAACATCCAGCCTGGTGCCTGTAGTCCCAGCCACTCAGGAGGCTGGGGTGGGAGGATTCTCTGAGCCTACGATTTTGAGGCTGTAGTGCACCATGATCATGTCTGTTTATAGACACTGCACTCTAGGTTGGGTAACATAGGGAGATCCTGTCTCTAAAAAATGAACCTAAAATACAGAACATCCATTTAAATTTGAATTAAACAAAAAATAACTTTTAGTATAAGTATGTCCCAAATATTTGCTAAATTTGGCAACCCTACAGTGGAGGGATATACTAGGAATTCGTATATAAGCCTGAGTACACCCTGGAAGATGGGCTAGCTTCCCACTTAGCCTGATAACCAAGGGTGACAGAGGAAGAAGGGGTTTGAGTCTAGCAAAGTAGAGGAAGATTCTAATAGGATTTCCTTCTCATTTTCTTCTCTGCAACTGCAGGACAAGATATAGGCCATGATTTACATTTCTTTGTAATCACAAACATAATTTTATTCTGACTTGTCTTCTTTCTATTTATTTTTAATCTGGAGGATAAATGTTCATCTTGAGAGTTTTGCTCCAACTTATCATTATAAAAGGAAGTATAATACTAAGAGTGCTCATCTCTTTGTAAACAATGAAATGTGAATACCAACAACTATAAACAAAAATGCTTCATGTTCCTCCCCTCCTCCTTTCTGCCCTCTTTATTCTTTTCTCTTTACATGTTCAAGTGATTTCTTGTCCTCACCAGATGAGTTAATCCAAGACAACAATGGATGGGAGTTGTTTTGGTGGCGCTTGGGGGTAAAAAATGTACTGGGGCATATCGACTCTCCCTCTCCAAGAAAACAGTATGAAATAATAGTAGTTAACTGTAAAAAAGAGTTACCTGCTGGGGGCAGTGTCTCACTCCTGTAGTCCCAGCACTTTGGGAGGCCAAAGTGGGCGGATCACTTGAGGTCAGGAGTTTGAAACCAGCCTGACCAACATGGTGAAACCCCGTCTCTACTAAAAATACAAAATTAGCTGGGCGTGGTGGCATGTGCCTGTAGTCCCAGCTACTAGGGAGGCTGAAGCAGGAGAATCGCTTGAACCTGGGAGGTGGAGGGGAACCGAGATCACGCCATTGCACTACTCCAGCCTGGACAACAAGAGTGAAACTCCATCTCAAAAAAAAAAAAAAAAAAAAAGAGTCACCTTATATTTGCATTTATTTGTTTATACTATATCCTAAAGCAGGGACCCCAATTCCCGGTCCATGGCCTATTAGGAACCAGGCTGCACAGCAGGAGGTCAGCAGCAAGGGAGTGAGCATTACCGCCTGAGCTCCGCCTTCTGTCAGATCTGCAGTGGCATTAGATTCTCATAGGAGCTCAAACCCTACTGTGAACTGCGCATGGGAGGGATCTAGGTGGTTCACTCCTTATGAGAATCAAACTAATGCCTGATGATCTGGGGTGGAACAGTTTCATTCTGAAACCATCCTCACCTCTCTGTCCATGGAAAAATTGTCTTCCATGAAACCAGTCCCTGGTGTCAAAAAGTTGGGGACCTCTGTCCTAATGGATTTCAGTATAGTTAACTTATATTGAGATTTTTCTATTTTGAAAGCATTTCACATTCACAGTCTTCTTTTACTTCCTGACCAACCCTGTGAAATAGGCAGGATAATGACAACTATTCATGTTGTACTTTCCCAGTTTCCAAAATGGAATTAATGGAGAATGGTACTAAGAGCATGTGTCACCCTCCCAGGAGAGGGAGGTAATTCAGCCAGCTTGCAGGGTGCTGGCTGGAACCTCCCACCTCTGTGCTCAGGCCCTTCCCCTGAGTCTTGGCTATTTTTGCCCTTTTTGTGTAACATCCGGTTTCCCTGGGAACTGGAACTTTAATATCCACCCCTCCCCCTTCTAGCTTTCTGCCTGCATAACCTGGTGATATTCCTTCTACCTTCTCAGCCTGGGTTACCAAGAAAGGGAATGTTGCCCAAGTATGTTGAGGTCACTGCCTTGGTGCTCTTCTGGAACAGGGCTCTCGTGGAGAACTTGGCTGACGAGCAGGCCTGTTATATTCCTGACCTCTGATGTCAGCAACCACAGAGGGAGGGAGGGAGGCAGTTTTGTTTTTCAGTGTTTAATTTTTCTAAGGAAACTCATAACAAACCATTAGGACTGTCAGCACATCTTAGCGCTTCAAACCCTCTTCTCATTAGGACGGCCACATTAGAAAATAGGAGTCAGGAAACTCCTGTCTAATGCATTCTCTCGCTCTGCTGATGGAGCCTGAAGATGCATGATGGCCTTGCTGCTCTCATCCCGTTTGCTGGGCTCCCATCCCTGCTGTCTTTTTCAGCATCTGTCTTGGTCCTGGAAAGGATCCGCTCCTCACTGCATTCTGATTTCTCCACTGCCTTTTTGGGAAGGTTTTCTCCCTGGGGCTTTGTGGGCAGCTGGAATCAGAGATAAGATTGGGACGTTTTTTGAGCAAGAAAAAGACTGCTTCCGAGGAGGAAGGGGTAGGAGAGGTGGGCAGGGACAACAGGAGTAGTCTGGGCACAAAACCTGAAGTGCCCAAGCTCTCCCCATGTCATTCCGTCCTCAGCCACAACTGGGTGCAGGGAGATTTTCATCTTCCTCAGAGTTGTGGAAGGTCTATGATGTCCCTGTTGGAGTATTTGCCACCAGGAAGGTTAAGTCTCATTCAATGATTTCCATTGCTGAGGCCAGTTCCCTGCCTGCATACCTGTGAAGCTGAGAGAGAAAGAAAGAAAGAAGCTGCTGGCTTCCAGAAACTCTACTTACTTCTTGCCTGGGCCAGGGTAGTCCTCATGCTGTTGGTGTTGCTCATGTTCCCATCCACGTGGGGAAGGCTTCAGCCCATGAAAGGGGGATCGGACTGGAGAGGGAGAGAGACTTTAAGCATTGGGAAGGGTTTTGGGTTACAGGGTTTTTTGTTTTTGTTTTGAGATGGGGTCTTACACTGTCACCTAGACTGGGGTGCAGTGGTGTGATCTTGGCTCACTGCAACCTCTGCCTCCCTGGCTCAAGTGATCCTCCCACTTCAGCCGCCTGAGTAGCTGAGATTCCAGGTGTGCACTACCATGCCCAGATAATCTTTGTATTTTTAGTAGAGACAGGGTTTCGCCCTGTGGCCCGGGGTGGTCCGGAACTCCTGAGCTCAAGTGATCCACCCGTGTCGGCCTCCCACAGCGCTGGGATTACAGGCATGAGTCACCGCACCCGGCTGGTTACAGGGCTTTTGAGTATGAATGGCTCCTTGTGGCCCAGTCCCTCTCCTGGCATTATGACTGCCAGGTTGTTTGAGGGGGCTGAGGAGGCAGATGTCATCCATCCTTCTCCATCCCTCATACATGCCCATCTTGCATCCTGTTCTCTACCTGGGGCACTCTCTGTTGTGGCTCCTCCTAGGACCATTCCTTCCACACTTCTGTGCCTTGATTCTCACTCTATACGGAATGTAATGAAGCTTATTTTATGAGGATAATTACAGTCAGACAATCTAGCTGGCCTCTCAGTTCTGCCACTTCCTAGTTCTGCAACTTTGAGCAAATTCCTTAACTTCTCCAAGCCTCAGATTCCTTACCTGTAAGATTGGGTTCCTCATTTGTGAAGTCTCTAAACCTTAGGTTTCTCCCTTATAAAATAATAATAGTTCCAGCATCATGGAACTGTCAGGCAGGCAGATTGCAATAATCCATGTAAAGTGCTCACCACAGTGCGTGACATACAGTAAGTGCTCAATAAATGTCAACACTAATTGTTCTGGGATATTGGTGTGGGTTATCCAGCAGACATTTGGAAGTGCTTATGGGGGATGTGGGTAGGGGTGGAGCTGGGGAGAGCCTGAAGGCCTAGACGTTGTGAAATAGGTCCAGGGAGGGGTTTTCCAGCTTGCTGGCTTGTCCCCTCAACCTGGCAAGGAGGCCTCATAGACATGCACCCACACAGTGTTGGCTAAATTGGCTGAATGTCAGAGCCGGAAGGGACTGAAAACACCATGTCATCTAACTACCTTGTTGAACAGGTGAGGACACAAAATGATATATCTGAGGTCACGTGACTAGTCACTGGCAGGCCTAGGATTGATCCTGTTTCCTGATTTTCGGTGTTCTTTCCAGTGTGGCCCCCACTCAATACTCAGGTGTAAGCACACAGAGCCCCAGGGGCCTGTGGGTTTTTGGAAGGGTACTCAATTTGTTCTTTGTCCAGGGTGAAGGAGGAAGCTGAAGTGATAGGATGGGCTCTGGTTAGGAGCCTAGCATCATGGTATTTTCCCATGTTCCCAAGTTTGTGGAGTTTATTCATAATTAGCTTATCCAGGAAGTACTTGTCAAGCATCTCATAGTAATAGCTCACATTTGCTGAGCACTTCCTCTGTGCCAGGCGCTGTCCTATGCATTTTATGTAGATTGTCTTATTTAGCCTGTGTGACATGCCTATGAGGGAGGTGCCATAATTACTATTAAGTAACTTTTATTGTGGGAAAATAACATAGAATTTACCATCTTAACCATTTATTTGTTTTGTTTTGTGAGATCAAGTCTTGCTCTGTCGCCCAGGCTGGAGTGGAGTAGCATGATCTCGGCTTACTGCAACCTCCACCTCCCAGGTTCAAACGATTCTCCTGCCTCAGTCTCCCCAGTAGCTGGGACTACAGGTGCACGCTACCACACCTAGCTAATTTTTGTATTTTCAGTAGAGACGGGGTTTCACTAGGTTGGCCAGGCTGGTTTCGAACTCCTGACCTGAGGTGATCCGCCCACCTTGGCCTCCCAAAGTGCTGGGATTACAGGCATAAGCAACTGGGCCTGGCCCATCTTAACCATTTTTAAGCGTACAGTTCAGTGGCATGAAATACATTCATAATGTCATAAAACCCATCACCACTATCTATCTCCTTAACTCTTTTCATCTTATAAAACTGAAACTCTATACCCATTAAACAGTAATTCTCTATTCCTCCCAGTCCCTGGAAACTGCTATTCTACTTTTTGACTCTATGATTTTGATTACTCTTAAGCACTGAAGGAGGGACTGTTATTATGTTCATGTTACAGCTAAGGAAACTAGGCTTGGAGGAATTAGGTGACTTGCATTAGTAAGCAGTTGTAAGTGCAATGCTGAAATTTACTCCTGTGCTCTTAGCCCTGACTCTCTCCTGCCTCCTTACACTGCCTTTCCCTATCACGTTTGTGGTAAGTCCTAGATTGGATGCTGGGAATTGAGAGGGGCCAAGACACACATAGTCCCTGACTTCATGGATCTCATAGCCTAGCTCATGTCGAACACAGTAGCTTCCAAACTGTTTTGATTCTGACCTACAGAAAGAAACACATTGTACTGGGTATAGTTATTTATTATACGTGTTATTCCCCACTCTCCAACAATATGAGAGTTTCACAAAACAACACTTTGACTATTTGTACACTTTGATATTTTCTATTCTATTCTATTGTATTTTATTTAACAAAATGATGGTTGATACCTGCTAAATTGATTTTGGGACCCATAAGTGTGTTACATTCCACAGTTAAAAAAATGCTGGTCTACCAGGCATCTTACTGGACAGGCTCTCTTTCTAGCTACAACTCCATGAATAGACCTTTCTGATATCTCAATTTCTCTTTCCTTTTTCCTTTTTTTTTTTTTTTGGTAGAGCCAGGGTCTAGCTATGTTGTCCAGGCTGGTCTTGAACTCTTGGCCTCAAGCAGTCCTCATGCCTTGGCCTCCCAAAGTATCAATTTCCCCTTTCTGTACAACGTCCTAAGGGATTATCCCAGGAAAGTCCAAACCAATTTGTTTATGATCCAAGTATGAGGTAAACTCTTAGCTATTGGGAAGTGGTAGGGCCTGCAGGAGGCAGAGAGTCACCATAGCTCTGATTGCTGGACTTCTCTTTGGTCTCCTGTCTTATAGGCCCTGCCTCTGGGCTCACCTCGCTGTGACCTGAAGGAGAATCTGCTGAAGGATAACTGTGCCCCGGAATCCATCGAGTTCCCAGTCAGTGAGGCCCGAGTACTAGAGGACAGGCCCCTCAGCGACAAAGGCTCTGGAGACAGCTCCCAGGTCACTCAAGTCAGTCCCCAGAGGATTGCACTCCGGCTCCGGCCAGGTAGGGATGGGACCCTTTGCAAGGAGAGACCTGAGACAGGTGGGCATAGAGCACAAGTTGGAGGTCTGAGGAGGAAGTCTTGGGGAAGTAGCTCAGAATGGAAATGGGGTGGGAAGACAAGGATGTGGGGGGAGGTGTAGGCAAGAGAATGGAAGAAAATAAGAGACGTTAGGACTTGAGTCAAAAGATCTGAGTTGAATCTTGACTGTATCATATATTAGTTATTTGACCCTGGACAAGTTACTTAACCCTTCTGACAAAGTAGGTGCTCAAAAAACATTTGTTTCTTCTTTACCCAAGTGCCTGTTTTACCTAGCTTCGAGCTTTGTGTTGAGGTGCAAACGAGATATAGAATAAGAAAGCAACTTGTAAGCCCTCCTTTCACAGGGGATTGGGACAGGGGAATGGGGGCAGGCACAATAGGTACACAAGACCTTTAGAGGGAGGAAAGGTTAGGCTAAGAGACAGAAATTTTGAAGCATTGATTTTGACTTTCCAACTAAGTCAAGAAGGATTTACCTACTATCAAGGCGTGTGTCGGATGCAATGGGATTCAGAGAAGGGTAGGGTGCAATTTCTGTCTTTTACAGAGTCCGAAGTGTAGTAACTATCAAAACCTCTGTGACTCACAGTGATAGACCCTTGGAACTCACAGGATTGGAAATCCCCTGGGGATTTAGAGAAAGTGGAAAATTTTAGAATGGAAAAGAAGATGTTAAAAATAGGCGGGTCAAGAGATTAGAAGAGTAATAGAATTGCAAAGGAAGAGGAAAAGGGACCAGGGCTTTCTGGTTTGCTTTGATCATGCAATTTCTTAGTCCCAACTGTATCCAAATCTGCTTATTCAATGTTGGAGGGAGAAGAAGATAAAAACTAACATCTTCCTGCCTTCCAGATGATTCGAAGAATTTCTCCATCCAAGTGCGGCAGGTGGAGGATTACCCTGTGGACATCTACTACTTGATGGACCTGTCTTACTCCATGAAGGACGATCTGTGGAGCATCCAGAACCTGGGTACCAAGCTGGCCACCCAGATGCGAAAGCTCACCAGTAACCTGCGGATTGGCTTCGGGGCATTTGTGGACAAGCCTGTGTCACCATACATGTATATCTCCCCACCAGAGGCCCTCGAAAACCCCTGCTATGAGTAAGTCCTTCCTCCAGATGCCAGGACAGCATCTTTTGCCCCAGGAAGGTCCAAGTCCTGGTTTCTATTTCTAGCTCTAGGGTCACTTTGTTGGCTGTCTTCTGGCCAAACTATAGCTCCTCTCTACCTTGGTCTCCCTGTCTGGCAAATGGGCTAGCTTGTGGATCTGGAGGGTTGTGTCAGTAGAACCTAAGGCTGTTTGGAGAACCTAGAAAGAAAATTCATCAGCTTCTTAGTCTTGGTAACAAATAAATAGGAGGCAGGAAAGAATGGAAGGGAAATGAGGTCAAAAGTAGAAAGAAACTTATGGATAAGTAAACTGAGAAATTGTGATTACAGAAGGATTGATTCCATTGTTGGCGTTATTGTCTTCATCAAGGCTGTGCATCCTGCAGGGTACAAACAGAAGAAATGAAGTGCTAAGGAATATAAAAGAGTGGAAATGACATTTGTTGAACACTTTTATAGTCTGTAAATGGATAACTTGTGCCTCTGTTTGAAACTTTGGCTTAAAACTTAATGGCTTACTTATTCAATCGGTGGAGACTGTGCAAATCCATGTATTAGAATAACTTACAATGCTGGTTGCTGAGCCTGAAAAGGTGTGAATTTACTTTTTAGTTTTCAAAGTTATGGCCAGGTGGGGTGGCTCACTTCTGTAATCCCAGCACTTTGGGAGACCAAGGTGGGAGGATCACTTGAGCCTAGGAGTTTGAGTTCAGCCTAGGCAACATAGTGAGACCCCCATCTCTACAAAAATTACAAAAAATTAGCATGTGTGATGGCGCATGCCTGCAGTCCTCGGGACTATAGGGAGGCTGAGGTGTGAGGACTGACCGAGCTTGGGAGGTTGAGGCTGCAGTGAGCCATGATTTTGCCACTGCACACCAACCTGGGCAATGGAGCACAACTGTCTCTAAAAAAAAAAAAAAAATGTTTTGAAGTTATATGATGTGTCATTCAACCTTCTGTCTGGGTTGTAAGGTTCCCAGGCAAGACATCAGCTATTAATTAAACACACTATTTTGGCTGGGGGCAGAAATGCACCTATCTTGCATGATCTATCAATTTATTGATGGTTCAGGGACCTTAACTTACTGATGGACTTGTGCTTTATTGTTGCTTTAGAAAAGTGTTAAGTATAAGGTGATAGTATCAGCAACTCAAGCCTCGCTCTGGTCTAAGTGCTTTGTGTATATGAACTTACTTAAGTCTCACAACTCTTATGGGATATGTGCTATCATGGCCCCACTTTCACAGGCTGACTTGAGAGGCTTGCCGAAGGTGCCATGACTAGTAAAGAGGGCAGCTGGGATCTAAGCTCAGGGAGTCTTGTTTCCAGCTCAATCTCTTATCCTCTAGGCTAGCTGGATGGGGGTAAGGTTGATGGGTAGCCTCAGGTAATTTGAGGATTTTGGAGTCTGAACTGTCTGGGTAACTGTGGTTGTATGGAACTGGCCTGGGCATACCACTATCTATATTTGTCCCCTCTCTTTCCTCCCAATTCTCATGCTGCCTTTTCCATCAAGGTGTCTGCTTAAATTATCTCCCATCCTTTCCCAGTATGAAGACCACCTGCTTGCCCATGTTTGGCTACAAACACGTGCTGTCGCTAACTGACCAGGTGACCCGCTTCAATGAGGAAGTGAAGAAGCAGAGTGTGTCACGGAACCGAGATGCCCCAGAGGGTGGCTTTGATGCCATCATGCAGGCTACAGTCTGTGATGTGAGTTTGGAGGACTTAGAGTGCCAGGTGTGGTTGGCATAGATCAAAATGGGGAAGGAAGTGACTGAACTCTGGGGATTTCTGGTGTAAAATGAGATGAGAACTAAGCAGAGCTTCCTGCAGTTGTGAGTAGTAAGTTGCTCCTGATATTTAGCCTTGGCTTAGATCCACTCCCTGGCCTGAGCTGACATTTCTTTGAACCTCAGTGGTCTCAGATGTTCCCAGGGGAGAGCATCTTCCCACCTTCAGAGTTACTTCAGAGTTAAAGCTGGGTTAACTTAACCTCAGCAAAGTAGGCAGATGTTCAGATGAGATTTCTTCTAGCCCAGATCAGCTCTGTGGATGCCCATCAGTTTCTAGATGGGCAATGTGACTGTCATTAGAAGAGTTAAGAGGATCTCATTCAGCTGCTTGAACTAATCAGTTATGAGACTGTTTTCTGAAGAGAATGAAACCCCTGAACTGGAAAGTTTCAGCTTCGGTTCCAAGGACTGGGACTGAGACCCTTCTTCAAAACAAGCTGTCCAGCCCTTTAGCCAGGGAGCGCCTTGGGTCTCTGTTCTCTACCTGTGACATGGCTGAATTTGTTTTGTCTCCTCTGCCTTTGTTTTTTTGTTTTCTTTTAACAGGAAAAGATTGGCTGGAGGAATGATGCATCGCACTTGCTGGTGTTTACCACTGATGCCAAGACTCATATAGCACTGGACGGAAGGCTGGCAGGCATTGTCCAGCCCAATGATGGGCAGTGTCATGTTGGTAGTGACAATCATTACTCTGCCTCCACTACCATGGTGAGATCTCTGGCACCACCTATGGTTTCTATTCATGATGGTGAGGGTTGCTCTAGCCCAGGCAGAGTCTGTGTGAATATGAAAATGGCAGCCCCTCCTTCTGGGCAGGGTGCAGGGCTTGGTTTCAGCTTGCCCCTATCCCTTACCAACTGGACACCATCATCCAGCGTACAACCTACATAACCATTAGAGATATCCCTGATTGTGGTGTTATCACTGCCTTTACTGTCAGCAGCATAGCAACAGCATCATGGGATCCAGAATGGACCCAAAGGATTTTTACAACCCAACTGGAAAGCAGGTCTTCCTTTCCACTTTGATTAGCCCTTTCTTGGAATACCATACTAACTTGTGGTTATTGGAAGAAGATAGAGGAAAAAAAGAGAAAGATTGGCCAGGCATGTGATGGCTCATGCCTGTAATCTTGGCACTTTGGGAGGCTGAGGTGGAAGGATCACTTGAGTCAAGGAGTTTGAAACCAGCTTGGGAAATATAGTGAGACCCTGTCTCTACAAAAAATGCAAAAATTCTCTGAGTGTGGTGGCTTGTGCCTGTGGTCCCAGCTACTTGTGGGGCTGAGGCAGAAAGATCTCTTGAGCCCAGTAGTCTGAGGCTGCAGTGAGCTGTGATCTTTCCACCACACTCTCGCCTGAGTTGCAGGGCAAGAACCACCACTGCTTTTTTTTTGTTTTATTTTGATACAGAGTCTTGCTGTGTTGCCCAGCTGGGGCGCAGTAGTGCAATCTTGGCTCACTGTAGCCTTCACCACCTCAGTCTCCTGAGTAGCTGGGACCACAGGCATGCACTACCATGCCTGGCTAATTTTTTAAAGCAGGGTCTTGCTATGTTGCCCAGGCTGGTCTCGAACTCCTTGGCTTAAGCAGTCTGCCCCGCTAAGCCTCCCAAAGTGCTGGGATTACAGGCATGAGCCATTGCTCCTAGTGGGGACCCCTTCTCTTAGAGAGAGAGAGAGGGAGAGAGAAAGAGAGAAAGAGGGGAAAGATCATCAAAGACATGGTGAACAGGTCCTATGAGGAAAGATTAAAAGGCCAGAGTCATTCAGCTTGAAAGAAAGAAGGCTAAAGGATGATTTAGCTTATACATGAGAACACGTCTTATAAGTTGTTTTATATCACCATAGAAGGTTCAACAAGAGGAAAATATTTAAATTGAATCAGGAGAAATTACTATAAACCATAAGAGAAATGTGCTGTAATGCTCTAGGTACCTGGGGCAGGTGTGAACTCTTCATCTCCTAAGGACAATATAGCAACTTCTTTATCTAGGTGGCTTAAAGGTATACCTGTGTAAAGGCAGGAGACTGAGCTGAGGATCTAATGAGCTCCCTGCAAGGTCTAGGATCCCATGGACATGTTCACAATTCACCACCCCACTCGCACAGTGTCCTGGAGTTCCTTGGTGTCAGCCATATCCAAGTCAAGCACTACCAGGCAATGAGTCAGCAACCTTTGACACCTAATCTATGCAAGGCACTGGGCCAGGGGCTGAGGGAGGTAACAAGACTATGTATGGTTCTATCCTTACAGAGTTTTTGGTCTAGTTGAGGAGAAAGGATATGTATATGTATTTACAATAACACAAGATGCATGATTAGTGCTAAATGGGTGTGGTAAAGCCAAAGTGGGCTATACGTATTCAAGGGAGGAAAGCTCATCATGAGCTGGGATGGCCAAGGAAGTCTCCTGAAGGAGGTGGGGCCTAAGCTGGGCCCTAAGAAAGGAGGAGGATTACCAACAAGAAGGCAACTCCAGGTGGGAGACAGTGGACCAGATCACTGCTGAGTGGAAGAGGGAGAGAGGTGAGTAATATTTGGAAAGAAAGACTGAGACCACACGGTGGAGGATCATGAGGGCCAGGCCAAGGCATCGGTCAGTAGTTCCAAAACAGAGGCCTAACCCAGTGCCTTGTGCAGGGAAGCAGCTCCATTGTATTAGTGCATTAAATTCAAGCAGGAAGAAAGAGGTGCTTAGTTTTGACACCACTGGCCTGCACCTCTTCGTCTATCCCTGGAGTTCACAAGTAGACTTCTGTGCTACTTACGCTTCTTGTCTCACTGTACCCCCCGCCCCCCACTTTTTTTTTAGTTTTAGAGACAGAGTCTTGCTCTGCTGCCTGGGCTGGAGTGCGGTGGTGCAATCATAGCTCACTGTAACCTCCAACTCCTGGGCTGAAGCGATCCTCCTGCCTCAGCTTACCCAGTAGCTAGGACTGTAGGCACTTACCACCACATCTGGCAAATTAAATTTTTTTTTTTTTTGTAGAGATGGGGTCTTGCTATGTTGCCCAGGCTCTTGTCTCACTTTCAGCATGAAGTGAAAAGGTTTAAGCACCGCAACTCTCTGAGCCACAGCCCAAGCAAGATAAGTTCTAAGGTTTAGACCCTAGGGATGTACATGGCACTTCATTACCTTCTACATCCTTCATTTTTCTAGGATTATCCCTCTTTGGGGCTGATGACTGAGAAGCTCTCCCAGAAAAACATCAATTTGATCTTTGCAGTGACTGAAAATGTAGTCAATCTCTATCAGGTGACTGTGACTTCGGGCTTCCTGGAGTGGGCCCTGTGATGGTGGGAGCCCCAGGAAGCCAGCCTGTGCTAGCGTTGGCCATAGTCCCCAACCAGGAAAGACTCTCCCCTAATCCACTGCCCAGGAGCTAAAGATTGCACTCTGGGCCTTTTTCCTGCAACCTTGAACTTACGAGGTGTGTGCTGGTGTTTGTGGTGATGAAGGGGAGGTGGCAAAGGGTGTGAGAGGCTTCCTCTACTTTTGCTCAGGGCTGAAAAACTGCTAGATATATTCCTGGCAGTGACCACTGAAATATCCCATACCTTCCTCCAATCTTCATCTCAGGACTCTCAGTGGGATTTGAGGAGGGCTTTTGGAGACCACCACCTTCCTTCGGTAAGCTCTGGACATCTTTGTCGTCCTTTCTAGAACTATAGTGAGCTCATCCCAGGGACCACAGTCGGGGTTCTGTCCATGGATTCCAGCAATGTCCTCCAGCTCATTGTTGATGCTTATGGGGTAAGTGTCTTGTGCTGGAAATAGTCCTGCGGAGAGTCCACCTCATTTGGCTTACACAGCAGGGCTCAGGTTTGTGAGTCCCAGGTGCCAGTCTACCACACGATCTTACTGCCTTCTCCGTGTGCTCCCAGAGGCCAGGCAGTGGTCTGCTCTAGAAGGGATGCAGCCTTCTGAGAAGGAAGTAGCCCAGAAAGAAAGAAAGAAAGGGGATGGGGATGGGGATGGTGATTACTTGGAGAAGGAGCAGAGCCCTGGAATTGGGGCAGAGTGAGGGAAAACTGGGCTCCAATAACGGAAAAGAGAGAGCTGAGACATGGGGAAGGTGAGGTTGATGAAACATTAGGTAGAAAATGCTGCTTTCCAAGGTGACCAGTACTCCCCTTTCGCAACATCTGTGAGGCCTGCGGGAGGGTGTAGCTGATACATTTTACCCAGACTCACCTAGACGCAAGTGGAGATGGAAAGAGGGAGCAGGTTCCTGTGCAGGAAACAGAGGAGGAAACAGAGTCGTAGGGGTGCTCCGGCAGCTTCCAGGTCAAACCTTGGCCTCTGGTGCACTGCTGGGGTAAGTCCAGAGCTACTTGGCAGATTTGGCTTGGGATGGAACTGGCTCTTGCCATTTCCCATTTCCTTTCAGTTCATTTTCTTGTCTTCTTGTGCCCCTTTGTGCTCAGAAAATCCGCTCTAAAGTCGAGCTGGAAGTGCGTGACCTCCCTGAAGAATTGTCTCTATCCTTCAACGCCACCTGCCTCAACAATGAGGTCATCCCTGGCCTCAAATCTTGTATGGGACTCAAGATTGGAGACACGGTGAGATGGGCTGGGCAGGGCCTTTGTACTGGAGCATCTGTGAGCACCCAACCCCCTTTCTTCTTTTTGTAATGACTAAAAATGGCCCCCTTCCGCCAGAAAAAAATATGGGCAGGAAAAATACCTTTCCTGAAAGTCATTTCAAGTTAGATGTAATGGATCCACCAATCTTTTCCTCTGGGGCTTCTGTTGCGTAAACTATTTCTGTTACATGAACTTAACTCTTAGGAATTTAAAAAACTTACAATTTGGTTACCTTTGTTTGTGTATGCACAGTTGATTGCAAAGGAAAATATTTCTTTACCTTCAGTCCCTCACCAGTCTCCAGCTTTCCCAAGGTAATTAATACCTTTCTTTTGTAAAATGACACAGGAAAGTAAAATCTAAAATGTAAAATGACAACATCATCTATAAATATTTATTGAGCACTGACATTGTGTCAGGCATTGTTCTAGTTGCCGAGAATTTAGCAGCAAATGGAACAGGCAAGAGTACCTACCCTCATGGAATTTTTGAAGCCAGATGTTCATTTCACCATCCAGTCCCTCCACGACTTTCCTTATCGGTCGTTTCTCCTCTGCTTCTGCCTAAGGGGAGAGGAGTTGGTGGGAGGGGAGGAAGGAGGGGAAGAAAATAGATCTTTGGATGCACTGATCCTTTCTCTTAATCTATCTATCTTTCAGGCACTTGTGCAAACATCCCATGTTAGAAATATTGTCCTGAAACTTGCTTTATTGCATAAACTATAAAATGTGTGGAAATTGAAGTAGATCCTGAGCTTATGGTTGACCACTATGTGGGATTGTGTGGTGCAAAACAGTGCTTTGTGCATCTTGCTGATAATTATAATCAGTCCAGCTTGCTTAGCTGGCCAGAGCAGGGTGTTTATATGATCACAGGTTCTGTTCAGTTTCAGCTGGTCTATTTCACACGTGAAGTAAAAACACAGCCTTTTATTATTTATTGACTGTAGACCATGTCTCTGCATCCAGCTACATATGTCACAATGATACTATTCCCGTGCTTGTGTTTTTGCTTTGCAGACCTTCACAGAGGTGGAGGTCTGTGGAACCTGTGGAAGGTTTGCTTTGCAGACCTTCCACAAAGCCTGAGGAACTCCATATTGCAAAAGCATAAGACACCTAATTTGGGTATTCCTTGGCAGGGCAGGGAACAACTTTTTTTTCCCTCCAGAGCTGGAGTGTTAACTGGGCCCAACTGTGTCTAAATACAATCTTGCTTTCCATCCAGGTGAGCTTCAGCATTGAGGCCAAGGTGCGAGGCTGCCCCCAGGAGAAGGAGAAGTCCTTTACCATCAAGCCCGTGGGCTTCAAGGACAGCCTGATCGTCCAGGTCACCTTTGATTGCGACTGTGCCTGCCAGGCCCAAGCTGAACCTAATAGCCGTCACTGCAACAATGGCAATGGGACCTTTGAGTGTGGGGTGTGCCGTTGTGGGCCTGGCTGGCTGGGATCCCAGTGTGAGTGCTCAGAGGAGGACTATCGCCCTTCCCAGCAGGACGAGTGCAGCCCCCGGGAGGGTCAGCCCGTCTGCAGCCAGCGGGGCGAGTGTCTCTGTGGTCAATGTGTCTGCCACAGCAGTGACTTTGGCAAGATCACGGGCAAGTACTGCGAGTGTGATGACTTCTCCTGTGTCCGCTACAAGGGGGAGATGTGCTCAGGTGAGGAGAACTGCACGGCCCCCTGTCCTGGAACCCACACCCCCTCATATATCTGCAACCCCTGGAAACATAGGCAAAGGCCTGAGATGGGTCTTTGCAGGCAGAGGTGTAACTCAGTGGTTCCCAATCTTTTTGAGTATAAGGACCAATCCACTTTTCAGGTTAAAAAAAAAAGTTACTGATAGATGGCAATTAAATTTTTACTATTTATAGACTTAGAAAACACATGTCAGAATATGTAGTAAGGTTAGTAATAATTTTACATGAGTTTATCTTTGTATCACAAGAGACCTGGAAAATAGTAGTATATATGCAAGGCATTGGAGCGTGCTTGACCAATGTCTGGAAAATGGTGTAATGCTCTTGTTAATGTTAGCACTATTTTGTTATCACTATTACTACTGTTGGTACTACTGTTATTTTTTGGATTCTAGATCTTTGCTATCCAATATGGTAGCCTTTAGCCACATGTGGTTATTTAAATTAGCCAAAATCAAAAAATTAAAAATTCAGTTTTTCAGCTGATCAGTGGCCACATGTAGCTAGTGGCTGCTATATTGGACAGCATAGATCTAGAACATTTCAACGTGACAGAAAGTTCTCCTGGCTAGCACTGCCACAGAGAGTCCCTGCCGACAGATTGAGGATTATGATTTTGAGTCCTTCTACTCAGCAGGGTGCTGAGTTGTCATTCTCATTGCAAAATTCAGTAAAATATTGAGGCCCACTGATAATCTCAAACTAGTTTCTCCTTGCCCCAAGAACCACTCCTGGGGTACTTCTCCCGCTAGAAGTTGAACTAACGTTAATGTAGTCTTTATCTGCAGATCTGTTGACAACACTCTCAGAGGGCAAATAGTCTGAGTTGTTCCTGGGGCACTGAGGATGGGTTTTTACTGGGCCATAATCACTGTGGCTTAATCCCTCTTGCGACAGACACTTGCAAGTTGGTTGGGACTGGGTTACGGGTGTATTGTGTGGCCAAACAGAGACATTATAATTGTTTTCTGGGGTGACCCTTGACTCAGATTGGCTTCATTGGCATTGGGTTCTTTTTTTTTGAGAGAGAGTCTTGCTCTACTGCCAGGCTGGAGTGCAGTGGTGCGATCTTGGCTCACTGCAACCTCTGCCTCCCAGTTCAAGCAATTCTCCTGCCTCAGCCTCCCGAGTAGTTGGGACTATAGACGTGCACCACCATGCCCAGCTAATTTTTGTATTTTTAGTAGAGATGAGGTTTCACCACGTTGGCCAGGGTGGTCTCGATTTCTTGACCTCGTGATCCTCCCGCCTGGGCCTCCCAAAGTGCTGGGATTACAGGCGTGAGCCACTGTGCCTGGCTGGCATTGGGGTTCTAATGAGTTGAGCTAATATGCAGATACTCACTTTAATACTGATATTAGCCTTTTAAAAAACTCACTTAGAAAGGTCGATCTGTGTCATTCTAAAGCATGACAGTAACATAAAAATGATTGCTTTTTTATTATCTACAACATTGTTTCCTTTACTTATGCTGATAAAATTTTAGAGAGAGTTTGAGAGGAAGTGTTATCAGAATGATTAGGGGAGAGCAAGAGATCAGATACACACAGATGAAAGCACACAAACAACAACCATTTGAATTAGGGGGTGAGGCAGGAGTTTCACTTCATTTTACTATTTAAAGTATTTACATCTAATTCAAAGTACCAAAGGAAATGGGTAAGTTTGAAGTGGGAGACCCCTGGGAAGAAGGTTGGGGACTGAGGGAGAGAGGGTGGTCCTAGGAGAGGAGTATGGCTGGACCACGGGGGCACCCCCGGTCCTCCTCCATGGCCTGATGTTTCCTGGTCTGGTGTGAGGCACTGCGGCAGGATCCCAGCCAGAGCATGTTTCTTTTGGCTGCTGCCCCACTAAAGCCACAAAACAAAGCTGACTGGGTCAGAAGCCCTGGTTCCTGCCTCTCACTAGTGCAGGAACAGCTCCTCCTCAGTGCATTCCAGTCTAATCCATGAGGGAACCAGGGCAGCCATTGCAGCCTCCCTCCACCATGTCTTGCTAGGGTATCAGGTACCCACCCAGCCTCAGGTCTAGACTCTGTGGTGCCATCATCACATCCTCCAGTGACAGATACTCAGGGGCGCAAGTCACTGAGCACCTGCTCTGTGCCATCATTTGGTCCATATGAGTGAACAAAGGGTCATGCATGATCCCTGACCTCTCCAGGCTTACAGCCCTGCTCACCATTGCCTTTCACCAGAGCTGCTGGCTCTATGCTCCATTCTTTGCCACAAGCAGGGGCTCAGGAGGCAGGTGTGCTGTGACTTGGCCATTTCCCTAGCCCCTGGCCTGTAAGCATGGTGGCTGGTTCCCTGGCCATCCCCCTTGTCCCCTCTCTACTTTGGGCCTGGTCTTCATGGTTGCCCATGATCAACATTCCTGCCTCAAACATCAAGATGTGCATCATCCTCAAGGGGGTTTTCCACTAGCCACAACCACAGCCACAGATCAGTCAGGTACCCTGTGTGAGCCAGATTCTGTGCTGTTGTGGAGTAGGATAGAGAGGTGTAAATAAGACAGTTAACCAAGGATAATTCCCAACATGAGGTTGAATCTGACAGATCCCGGAAGTGTGGGGTACTTAGGGAGTGTTATAGGAGTCCACTGGAGCGAGACTGACTGGGGACAGGGGAGGCCTGGGCGGCTTCACGGAGGAGGTGGGATGTCTGACGGATCTCAGAGGAAGGGCAGGCTCAGGACAGAGAGGAGTGGAGCGAGCATCAGCCCAGAAGGCCTAGCTGTGGGGTTCGTGTTCCCAATGACCTTAAGCACCTGTTCCTCCCTCCCTCTTCTGGCTTCCCTCCCTTTCTCTTCTTCCACTCTTAATTTCTTACTTTACTCCTCTGACTTTCCAATGAACCCAGGCTCAGCCTCCCTTTTGCTGGAGGGGCGCCAGTTCTGTGACATTACCACACTGTGGCTTCCATTTAAGGGCTGACCCTACCAAGGCTCTTGGGGTCAGCATGCTGGCTCTGACCTGTCACTTCCACTCCCAACCTCACTCCCTAGCTGGCCCATCTTGTCAAAGATCACTTTGTTTAGCCTCACAAAGGAAACACTATGGGACAAGAGTTTCTGAGGAGGCGGAGGCCTCTGAATGCTGCCAGGCCCCTGTGGTGTCGGTCTTTCCCATCCAGGAGCGGTGGCCAAATGCGGGGTGTAGTGAAAGGCCGAGGGGAGGGCGGGGGGGCAGCTCTGCTGGTTGGCGCACTCCTCCCCCAGCTGCCATGAGATTGGCCGATAGCAGCTCACAGCTGCCCCTTCTATGGAGAACTGCCCTCGGCTGACAGGAGCTGCCTTGCCCCTAGATGTTGACCAATGACTGATGGACAAGGGGTTACTCTAAGGCTAGACTCTTTGTCTCAGGGTGGGCCTGGCTTTGTGGTACCATTCACGTAGGATCAGGCTGGAGGGCATCTGGCTGAAATCACATTCCTGCCAGCTCTGCCTCTTGCCCTGTCCTGTTTCGCTCCCTCCTCTCTGCTTCCTCAGTGAGTCACTTAAATAAGATCCTCATCCAAACTGTACTTCTAGGGAACCTAGCCTCGGGACACAGCCTTTCCGCTTTCCCCACCCTTCTGGCAGCCCAACATCTCTACTTTCCAGATATACTTGGCAGCTGGGGCAGCTTGGGTGATGTTCCCCATCCTTCCTGGGAAGCGGATATTTCTTTCCATGCCCAGCCCATAGTGCAGTGGCATTATCATGGCTCACTGCAGCCTTGAACTCGGGGCTCAAGTGATCCTTCTGCCTTAGCCTCCCTAGTAGCCAGAACTACAGGCTCTTGCCATCATGCCCGGATAATTTTTAAAAAAATTGTAGAGATGGGATCTCGCTATGTTGCCCTGACTGGTCTTGAACTCCTGGGCTCAACCGATCAACCTGCCTCGGCCTCCCAAAGTGTTGAGATTATAGGCATGAGCCACCACACTTGGCCTTTGAAGGTTTTTAAGCAGGTGAGTGGCATGATCAAGTTGACTGATACTTTAAAACAGTGGTTCTCAACTGGTGGCAAGGAGCTATTTTGTCTCCCAGGGGACATTTGGCAATGTCTGGTGATATCTTTGATGTTACAACTGGAAAGGTGCTACTGATATCTAGTGGGTGGAGCTCAAGGATGCTGCTAAACACCCTAATGTACAGGACAGTCCTCCACCACAAAAAATTATCTGGTCCCAAATATTGAAAAGTACCAAGGTTGAGAAATCACGTTTTACAAAGAGAATCCTGGCCACAGAGGAATTGACAATCACCTGGAGAAGGGGAGGTGACTTAATTGTCTGGAGACAGGACCAGGCTGAGGACAGGGCATGGAAATGTCTACAATAAGGCCCATTCACCCTTTGCTTAAATAGTTCAGGACATTTGACTCCTAAAATGTTCCCTCCTTGGAATTTCTCATTGAGATCAAGCCCAGTTACTGGACTTTCCATAACTTCTTTCTTACTACTTTGGTCTCTTTTCTTCCTCCACTGGTCAATTTGAAGAATATTCCATTAAAACTGGCTCCATCTTCTACTGGTTAAGGCCATTTTCTCTGTAAGTTAGAGACATCTTCTGGAAAGACCATATTAGTATAAATAGGGAAAAACATTGCTTATGACACTGCACAGAGGCTAAGCACTTGGGATCTGAAGTCACAGTGACTTCTGTTTGAGTCCTAACCCTGCCATTTACAAGGCATATGGCCTTGGGAAAGTTACTTAACCTCTCTGACCTCAAAGGGTTGTTATCAGAAATGAAAAGGATAACATACTAAAGAACTTGCGGCCGGGTGCGGTGGACCAGCTGGCTGGGCCTGTAATCACAGCTCTTTGGGACGGCAAGACACATGGATCACCTGAGGTCAGGAGTTCAAGGCCAGGCTGGTCAACATGGTGAGACCCCATCTCTACTAAAAATACAAAAATTAGCCAGGCATGGTGGTGCATGCCTGTAGTCCTAGCTACTTGGGAGGCTGAGGCAGGAGAATCGCTTGAACACAGGAGGTGGAGGTTACAGTGAGTCAAGATGGCGCCACTGCACTCCAGCCTGGGTAACAGTGAGACTCAAAAAAA